GGCCTGTCCCGCTGGTCGGTCGCAGATCTGCCCACCTTTCGGGCACGGGTGGAGGCACTGCTCTGCCCCTACTCCAATTGGGGTGTCGTGACTACCCCGCCTGCAGGACACTGGGCCTGTTCCTGGCATGGGCGGCGACTCTGCTCTGCCACTACTCCAATTAGGGTGGTGTTTGTACCACGCCGGCAGGCTCCTGGGCCTGATCCGCAGGTCTGTTGTAGGTCTGCCTACCTTGGAGGCGCGGGCGGCGGATCTGCCCTGCCCCTCCTACCACGCCTGCGGACCCCTGGGCCTGATCTACAGGTTGATCACTGGTCTGCTCACCCTGCGGGCACGGGTGGCGGTTCTGCTCCGCCCCCGATTGGGGTCACGTGACCACCACACCGGCAGGGCCTGATCCGGGCGTGGGAGAAGGATCTGCTCTGCCCCTACTCCAGTTGGGGTGACGTGTGTACCACACTGGCAGGCCACTGGGCCTGACCCGCCAGGCTGTCACAGGTCTGTTTACCTTGCACGCTCATTCGTCACAGCGCGAACCGCGGCTCTGCCCTGCCCCTCCTACCACGCCCATGTACCACTGGGTCGCGGGTCTGCCCACCTTGCGGTTGCGGGTGGCGGCTCCGCTCCGCCCCCTCTCCAATTGGGGTCACGCGGTCACCACGCTGGCGAGCCGCTGGGCCTGCTCCGGGCGCTGGCGGCGGCCCGGCTCCTTCCCTCTGGCTCGACGACAAATTGAGGAGACTCGGGTGACTGTGCCTCACCCCCCCTACCAGGAGACCAACTGCTTATGTCACCACTGGTATTGATGAAGTTCCCTCCTCCGCCGCTTTCTGCAGACATCAGATCTCTGCCATGTTGGTATCCTATGCGAATGGCAGCATTTCGTTCCCCTTGCCGGGCAACCAAAGCACCGGGTGAGTCCTGACCGGCCCTCAGCAGGACCCGGACCGAGAAGCAGTTTCCGCGGGCTCCTAGCCCCGGGCCAGGGAAGTTCCGGGAGCCGGAACTCGGCCACTCCGTGCTCGGTGTAAGCTCCTATAAATGTAAGCTCCAAGAAGCAGTCCTCGTGGGCTCAGTTCCGGGAGCCGTAATTCGGCTGCTTAGTGCTTGTTGTATGCTCTGGTAGGCGCAGGGTCCAAGAAGCAGCCTCCGCGGGCTCAGCAGCCCTGGGCCAGGGCGGTTCCGGGAGCCGGAACTCGGCCGCCCCGCGCTGGGTATTCTCTGCCGAATAATTTAAAATTTATATTTGGCCTCAACCTAGCCCTCCAAGGTGGATTTGGAGATCCAGTCTCTTCATGGTTCCAAGTTATGGTGTTGCCATGGTTTTGGGGATTTGACAGAGCCCGGGCAAGGCTAGTCTCAGCTTCAGGTTCCAAGGCAGTTGCTGTGTTCTGTTGTAGCCTTAGGCTATATTTGCTCAAGGGAAGACCAGCTATCCTTAAACAATGAGCCTGGCTCTTGTGTTTGTCAAGAAACCATTCTCTTTACCCTTCAGGGCTGAACTCTTTCTAGTCCAACATATCTGTTTCTTCCTGTACCTATTTTATGTTTGTGTTCCATTTCTTTGCTCTGTGGGATTTACTTTGTATTGTATATCCTTTTTTTTAAAAAAAAATATATATATAATTTTTGAGGTAGATGGACACAATACCTTTATTTTATTGTTTATTTTTATGTGGTGCCAGGGATCGAACCCAGTGCCTCACACATGCTAGGCAAGTGCTCTACCACTGAGCCATAACCCTGGCCCCTGTACCCTACTTTTTTGTGTGTGTGATAGTTTTCTCTTTTATATTTTGTCAGTATGTTTGTAGTAGAGGCAATTTCTGGATTATTATTATTTTGGTGAGGGGGTGCTAGGGATTAACTCAAGGCCACTCGACCACTGAGTCACATCCCCAGCCCTATATTTTTGTATATTATTTAGAAATGAGTCTACACTGAGTTGTTTAGCATCTTGCTTTTTACTGAGGCTGGTTTTGAACTCATGATCTTCCCGTCTCAGCCTCTTGAGCCGCTGGGATTACAGGCGTGTGCTATCGTGCCTGGCTATAATTTTATTTTTTAATATACATATATTTTTTTTTTAGTTGTAGATGGACACAATACTTTTTATTTATTTATTTATTTATTTTATATGGTGCTGAGGATAGAACCCAGCACCTTGCATGTGCTAGGTGAGTGCTTTACCACTGAGCCACAACCTTAGCCTGCAATTTCTGGATTATGAATTAACTGATTCATCATTACTTAGTAGACATCTCTACAAATTCTCTTGTTCTAATTTTTTCTTTTTCTTGATAGTTTCCTGTTTCGTGCTTGTACATAAATTTTCTTATTACATCTTAAGGTTTTTTTAAAAAAATTATATCTATCTATCTATATCTATCCATCCATCCATCCATCTTTTTGCAGTACTAGGGATTGGACCCAGACCACTGCACCTGGTAAATTGAGCTCTACTATGGAATTATATCCCTAGCCCTTTTTTATTTTGAGACAAGGTCTCACTCAGTTGCAAAGGCTAATCTTAAACTTGTGATTCTCCTTGACTCAGCCTCCCAGGTAGGTAGGAATATGGATGTGTGCTGTCATGCCTGACATCTGAAGGTTTTTGTTTTTTTTTAAGTCCTCTGTTCTTTCACATAGTAGTGCCTTTAGTAAGTCACATTTATTGTGAGTATTCCCCTTATTTTGAATAAATTATATATCTTTATCCATTTGATTTTTCTTTTTAGTCTTTAACGATCTCTTTATGTTAAGTAGCTCATGTAGATTGCATCAAATATTCTGTAAATAGTAGTAAGATTTTTTTTTTTCAGTTTTAGGTAAAAGAAAAAACTACATTTATTAAATTGTCTTCATTGGTTTATTTAGAAGGCAGTAAGTAGTTTGTGTGTGGTTGAGATGGAGCTACAGGTAGTGTGTTTGTCAGCTTTTCGTTGATGTGACCAAAATACCTAACACAAACAACTTCAAGAAGGTGCAATTTGTTTTGAACTGGCCACTGTAGTACATGCTTATAATCCCAGATAATCAGTAGGCTGAGGCAGGAGTATCGAAAGTTTGAAGCTAACCTTGGCAAATAAGCAAGGCCTTCAACAACTTAGTAAGACCTTTCTCAAATAAAAAGCGCTGGGGATGTAGCTACGTGGAAACACCTCTGAGTTCAAACCCCAGTACAAAAAAAAAGAAAAGAAAATTTTGCTTTCAGCGATTTTCGTTCATGGTCAGTTGACTCCATTGCTTGGGGCCTGAGGTGAGATGGAACATCATGGTGGAAGGGTGTAGGGGAGGAAAGCTGTCCGCTTATGGCAGTTGGGAAGAGAGAGAGTGTGTGTGAAGAAGGGGGCCCAGGTCAAGATATAGTCCCCAAAGGGTATACCCCTGTGGCTGTTTCCTCCAACTGTACCTCACCTGCCTTTAGTTTCCATCTCCTTCTAGTAGTCCCTTTAAATTATTAATTAATCAAATTAATTAATCCACTGATGAGGTTAGAGACCTCATTATTCAGTCACTTCCAAAGCTCCACTTCTGGACATTGCTGCACTGGGGACCAAGTCTTTAATATATGAGCTTTTGGGGGACATTTCAGATCTAAACCATAACAGGCAGAGCCATTGTTGAGGCTTTCTTTGTTCAGGAATAATTTACTATCTATGTATATTCTTTGAAAGCCACAAGCTGCCCCCTCATTCTACTCAACACCTGGTGAAGGTCCCCAAAGGATTCCACTCCTAGTCATTTTCCATTTCACTGACCTTCCTTCATATCTACAGCATAAGTGTAGTGTAATGCAGTTTCTTCTTCTCACAGTGCCAGCCATGAAGGCCCAAGTAAGGTTGGAATTTGTGTCCATCTTGGTTTCTATCCTTATCTCCTGCCATCCACCGCATTCAGAAAGGGAAGCCTACCAGGGTAGTTAATGAAAGTGTTTTCAACATCATGATGTTATTTGCTGGTACTTAGCAAAAGAATAACTATTAGAAAGTTATTGAAGTGTTCCTTCTTACAGACTAGATTCACTAGCAATTGAATTCACTTTTTTTTTTTTTTTTTTTTTTGCAATCAGGGACTCACATTAGTGTATTATTAGGATGGATACTTATCATGAGATAATGAGGAATGATGCTTAAAATACTAGACTCAGAATCAGAAGACCTGGTTTGATGTCAGTGTTTCTTAGCTTGTTCTTCAGTTTTCTCAGGTATACAATGCAATTTATATTTATTGTAAGTTCCTTAACAGTGTTATTGTATTATCAAATGGTATATATTATAATGAAATTGTGCTTAAATTTGTCTTGTATGAGCATAAAGATATTGCTTTGTTGTATTTGACAGAATTAGTTTTCTATCTTAGAACACATTCTAGATTTAGTATTGTTTGCATTTAAGACAAATGTTCATTTTATCATTGGGATTTATCATAAACTATTTTTTAGAGTTACTCAAATCAACTAAATATTTGCTGGGGATATCTCCATGAATAGAACCTGATCTTTTTATTAATTACATAAGAAGTATAATATATTCACGAGAGATCAGTTTATAAGTCCTGTATTTTAATATAAACACTCTTGTTTTTTCTTTTAATGTTTTAATATAGATAAATCACAATGGCTTCGGTTTGAATGCTGTTTTTGTTTGAATAACCTTGCAAATTATTTAAATAATCCTGAACCCTCATGTATATGTTGGAAAAAAAATACATTTCAACAAGTTGTTTGGAAATTATATGATTTAAATATGTAAAATTCCTAGTACTATACTTGGACTTTTTTAGTAGTAGCTTAATAAGTGATAGCCATTTTGTTCTGGTTGCATTTAACTGTTCATCCTAAGTGGAACAGGAATCACATTTTGTCTTTCCACTTCGTTGAAAAAAATAGCAAATTGAATCATTGACTCATTATTTCGAAGAGATTTTAAATAAGAATAACATTGTTGATGAACCATGGAATGATTATTCTTTTTTTTTTCTTTTTGTTTTTAAATCAGGGCACCTAGATTTAAAGGTTTTCAACAACAAGACAGTCAGGAGCTTCTTCATTATTTGCTGGATGCTGTGAGGACAGAAGAAACAAAGGTCAGGTTCCTTAATGTTATCACATATTGCCTTTTTTTATTTTTAAAATTGTTTTTCTTTATTCTAATTAGTTATATATGACAGTAGAGTACATTTATGTACTTTGATATGTCATACATAAATGGAGTATAATTTCTCATTTTTCTGATTGTACATGTTGTATAATCACATTGGTCATGCAGTCATATGTGTACATAAACTAATAATGTCTGTTTCATTCTACTATTCTTCCTATCCCCATACTTTCTCCCCTCTATCTAAAGTAACTATTCTTCCTGAGGGCTCATCCTCTTATTGTGAATTAGCATCTGCATATCAGAGAAAACATTTGGCCTATGATTTTTTGGGATTGGCTTATTTTGCTTAGCATGATATTCTCCAACTCTGTCCATTCACCAGCATATGTCATAATTTCATTCTTCTTTATGGCTGAGTAATATTCCATTGTGTATGTGTGTATATGTGTGTGTGTGTGTGTGTGTGTGTGTGTGTATATATATATATATATGTATATATATATATCACATTTTTTAATTCATTCATCTGTTGAAGGGCACCTAGGTTGGTTCCATAGTTTAGCTATTGTAAGTTGAGCTGCTATAAACATTGACGTGGCTGCATCACTATAATATGCTAATGTTAAGTCCTTGGGTATAAACCTAGAATTGGAATAGCTGGGTAAAATGGGGTTCCATTCCAAGTTTTCTGAGGAATCTCCATGCTGCTTTCCATAGTGGTAGCACCAATTTGCATTCCCACCAGAAAAATGTGAGTGTACCCTTTTCTGCACATCCTAACCAACATTTATTGTTGTTTGTATTCTTGATAATTGGCATTCTGACTGGAGTGAGATGTAATCTTTGAGTAGTTTTGATTTGCATTTCTCTAATTGCAAGAAATATTGAACATTTTTTTCATATATTATTGATTGATTGTATTTCTTCTTCTGTGAAGTGTCTGTCCAGTTCCTTAGCCCATTTATTGATTGGGTTATTTGGGTTTTTTTGGTGTTGAGTTTTTTGAGTTCTTTATGTATCCTGGTGTGTATATATATATATATCTGAGGTGTACATGGTAAAGATTTTTCTCCCATTCTGAAGGTGTTCTCTTCACATTATTGATTGTTTCCTTTGAGAAGAAGCTTTTAATTTAAATTCATCCCATTTATTGATTCTTTTTTAAAACAATATTTTATTTTTAGTTGTAGATAGACACAGTACCTTTATTTTTTTAATTTGTGTGGTGCCGAGAATCGAACCCAGTGTCTCACACATGCTAGGCAAGCGCTCTACCACTGAGCTATAGCCCCAGGCCGTTGATTGATTCTTGATTTTACTTTTTGTGCTTTAGGAATCTTGTTAGGGAAGTCAGATCCTAAGCCAACATGGTAAAGATTTGGGCCTTTTTTCTTCTATTAGGCACAGGGTCTGTGGTCTAGTGCTTAAATCTTTGATCCACTTTGAGTTTAGTTTCATGCAGGGTGAGAGATAGGATTTCAATTTCATTTTTCTTCTTCTTCTTCTTTTTTTTTTTTAGTTGTAGATGGACACAAAGACTTTATTTTATTTATTCATTTTTATGTGATGCTGAGGATTGAATCCAGGGCCTCACATGTGCTAGGTGAGTACTCTACCACTGAACCACAATCACAGCCCTCGATTTCATTTTGTTTCATGTGGATTTCCAAGTTTCCCAGCACATTTATTGAATAGGCTATCTTTTCTCCAGTGAATGTTTTTGGTGCTTTTGCCTAGTATAAGATAACTGTATTTATGTGGGTTTGTCTCTGTGTCTTCTATTGTGTACCAGTGGTCTACGTGTCTGTTTTGGTGCCAGTACCATGCTGCTTTTGTTACTATTGCTCTGTAGTATAGTTTAAGGCCTTGTATTGTGGTCCCTCTTGCTTCACCCTTCTTGCTAAGGATTGCTGTGGCTAGTCTGGGTCTTTTATTTTCTCAAATGAATTTAATGATTGCCTTTTCTTGTTCTATGAAGAATGTCATTGGGATTTTAATAGGAATTGCATTAAATCTGTATAACGCATATTGCCATATGGCCATTTTGACAATATTAATTCTGCCTATCCAGAAGCATGGGAGGTCTTTCCATCTTCTAAAGTCTTTTTCAGTTTCTTTCTTTAGTGTCTGTAGTTTTCATTGTAGAGGTCTTTCACCTCTTCTGTTAGATTGAGTCTCAAGTTTTTTTTTTTAAAGCTATTGTGAATGGGGTAGTTTTGCTAATTCCTCTTTTAGTAGATTCATTACTGATGATGAAACATGTTTGATTTATGGGTGTTGATTTTATAACCTATTACTTTGCTAAATTCATTTATGAGTTTTAGAAGTTTTCTGGTGAAATTTTTTGGTTCTTATAAATATTGAATCATGTCATTGGCAAATAGTGATGGTTTGCATTCTTTTCCTATTCATGTCTCTTTAATTTCTTTTTCCTGTCTGATTGCTCTGGTTAGAGTTTTCAAGGATGATGTTGATAGAAATAGTGAAAGAGGGCATCCTTGTCTTGTTCCAGTTTTATTGCATATTATCTTTAAGAACAGGATACACACTGAAAACTGGTTTCTACTATAATTTTAAAATACAGTGAGGGCAGAGGATGTAGGTCAGTCAGAGCTATTGTCTTGTATGCATAAAGCCCTGGGTTTAATCCCCAGCACTGTAAAATAAATATAGTGAAAAGTAATTGATTTTTAAAAATTCTGTATTTTCTTTTTTCCTCCTTTCTCCTGTTAAGATTATTTTATTCTTTCATAGTTCTACTATCCTGTATTAGTTCATGCCCTTTGGTTGTAAATAAAGCAATTCAAACTAAAAGAAAAGAGAATCTTAGCTGGGAATGGTGGCATGTGCCTGTAGTATAGCTATTCAGGAAGCTAAAGCAGGGGCATGGCTTGAGTCTGGGAGTTCAGCGCAGTCTAGGCAACATAGTGAAACCCTGTCTAAAAAAAAAAAAGCAGGGGGGGGGGTCTTAAAAATCCATGCCAAAGAAGATATAGCTGAGTGATGTAGAGACAGGAAATTTATCAGGAATCTAGGAAGTATTTAAATTATTTCACTAGTTTCTTTGGCTCTGTAGATTTTCTTTATTTTTTAGACTGAATTATTTCTATGTTTCTGTGTCTGAATGATAGCACATAATCATAATTTGCATGCTACAGTTCAACATATATTAAAAACTAAACTGGGCTGGGATTGTGGCTCAGTGACAGAGCGCTTGCCTGGCATATATATGTGAGGCACTGGGTTCAATCCTCAGCACCACATAAAAATAAATAAACAAAATAAAGATATTGTGCCCATGTATAACTAAAAATGTATTAAAAACAAACAAATAAACAAACAAAAAAACCTAAACTAAACTTGCCGCAGCCCAGCTGGCTGGGCAAAATAACCGTGTGTGTGTGTGTGTGTGTGTGTGTGTGTGACGAACGACTTATGTAGATCAATACAGCAGGAGTGGAAGCCGTTTATTGTAGGACAACAGAGGTATTTATACATTCCACACAGCTTATCTAATTAACATAAACTAGATACAGCAGCCAACCAATAAGGAATCTCCACACTTAATGGCTCGCTGGCGTTACTTCACAAACCACTCCCTCTGGCAAAATGCCAGGCGCCATCCAGACTTGTTTACAGACTCTAACATTTGCTAGGCGCCATCCTGACTTGTTTACAGATTCTAACATAAACTGACCATGATTCTCACTTCTAAATTCCCAGTAGAGTGAAATTTCATTATTCCATCCTGGACTCAATTCCACTTGGATCAGTTACTTGTGGCTAGGAGAGTAGGATTTCAACCTTGTGAATCAGGGAACTTTTCTCAGAAGATAAGGAAGAGCTCATGAGTGGATTCTCCTAAGTAACATTTATTGTGCCCTATCCCTTGATTGATGGGTTGTTTATTGACTTTAATATTAAATTAGTAATTTTTTTTCCTTTCTTTCTTGGTTCTGGGGAGTAAACCCAGGGGTACTTTTCTACTGAGCACATCTCTAGCCCTTTTCACTAAATTGCTGAGGCTGGCTTTGAACTTGCCATCCTCCTGCCTCAGCCTCCAAACTGCTGGGGTTACAGGCATGCACCACCCTGCCTGGTTCAGCTCTTTCTTATTTTGAGACTGGGTATTGCAAATTTTTGTAGGCTGGCCTTGAATTTGCAATCCTCCTACCTAATCCTCCTGAGGAGCGGGGATCACAGACATGTGCCACTGCACCTGGCTGTCTGTCCTTTCTTTCCTTCTTTGCTTGCTTTTCTTCTCCTCCCTCCCTATTCCCCCCCTTGTCTTTCTTTGCCAGGGATGGAACTCAGGGCCTTGCACACTCCAGGCAAAGATTCTGCCACTGAGCTCTATTCCCAATGCCCCTACACATACCATTTTTTAAAAGTCTACTTTGTTTGAATTATAATCTTGTACTCCTAATCTCCATTTTTCAGTGGAGAGTTTAGTATTCTAATATTTTATTAAAAATGATCTTAAAAAATAATGAGTTGATCTCTCCTTTCTGCTAAAAAGTACCAGAAAACAGTATGTATTACAGTCCCCTTCTTTTTTTAAATTTTTTTTCTTTTAATATATATTTTTAGTTGTCAATAGACCTTTATTTTATTTATTTATATGTGGTGCTGAGAATCAAACCCAGAGCCTCACACATGCTAGGCAAGCACTCTACCACTGAGCCACAACCCCAGCCCATACAGTCCGCTTCTTTAAGTGGCCCCCTTAGTGGATTTCATAGGATTTGAACTTGGAAGAATTGGAAAGAAAATAATAATCTCCTAAATCAGTTTTATGATCTGGTTTCCTGGGGAATTTTCAATTATTTTGAATATGTTGTGATTTGGGTAAATTGATAGGATAATACTGCATTATGTTTAACCTGTTTTTTTTTTTTGGTTTTTCTTTTTGGTGAATTGAACCCAGGGGCCTTGTGCATGCAAGGCAAACACTCTACCAACTGAGCTATATCCCCAGCCCTA